TAATATATCGAAAGTTTTGCACTTCGCCATAAATTCCAGCAAGCCGGAGCTCTCTTTGTTGCGCAACGCGCACTTTTTCCAAAACGCATACGCCGCCTGCGCAGTTTCGACGTAGTCCAGCTTGCTTTCGAGAGGCGCGAGGTTGAACTCCTGCGTCTGCATGAACCGAATGACTTCGCTGCCCGCGTGCTTCAAGTAGGCCAGGGCGCGGTCCTCTTTGCAGCGCTTGAACTCGAGCTTGGCCGCAACCGTCGCGACAAGCGGCAAGTTGAAGTCGCGGCACGCATTCACGGCGGAGCTCATTAGCGCACTCGCCGTGCGCACGTCGCCCACCGCGAGCGTGTAGTAGACCCGCAAAAAGAGGAGCGCGTCGCGCGCTGTATCGGCGACTTTTGCGCTGTTTTCGCACAACAATGCCAGACCGGCACTGTAAAAGCCGAACTGGAACTCGTACACGCACGCGAGGTAAAGGTAGCGCAGCGCCTGGCGCTTCTCGCAGCGCGCGAGCGCGTCGCCAAACAAATGACGAATATACTCCAGTTTGCGGCTGCCGTACCGCGCGATCAGCACCGAGAGGTAGAAGAAACTGAGATTGGCGAATTCGCGCGCGTTAACGTGCTTGAGCAACACATCGCAACAAATGAAGAAGTCTTCGTGCAGCGCGCGGTTCAACAGCGTCTTGAGGAGCGCTGATGCGAGACTCGGTGAGATGCGTTTGTGCGCACACGTCAGTCTCACCGTTTGCACGAACGCTTCAGTTCGGTTTGTAACCAGCTCGAGATCGCACTTCAGCGCTAACAGCCGCGTGCTGCTCGTAGACAGCGCGGCACCGCGCTTGTCGACGAAGCGCGCGCACGTCGTCAGCGCTTGCTCCGGCTCGCCCGCCAGCAGCAGCAGCTCGCACTCCAAGCACGTGAGCATCTCGGAAGCTTCCGCAGGAATCTGCGGCGATTTCGCCAGTTGCCGGAGACGCTGCAGCGCTGGCTTGCTGCCGTGGAGCTGCGAGTAACAGCCGAGAAAGGCCCACACGAAAGCGGCGCAGTCCTCGGCCGAAGTCAGTTTGAGCGTTTCCAGCGCCACCTCGTACGCAAGACACAGTTTCCCGAGCCGCGCCTGCGCCTCGAGCGCTTCGAGCTGGACGCTGTACTCGCTGATGAACTGCTTCCACGCCGTAAAAGACTTGAACGCGCCGCGGTGCCTGAAGCAGCTCACCAAAAACGTAGAATTCTGCACGACGCGAGCAATGCTCGTGCGCACGTCGCCGCCGCGTTCGGCCAGACAGAGTTCGAGCAGCGTCGCTGCGAAGTGAGACAAGCGTTGGCCGACGCGCGTCAACTGTTGCTCGTCTTCGAGCGACTCGATCCAAGCGTGCACGATGCTCACCACGTCGCTGAACCGCACGTTCTTGAGCTCGAGCAGCAAATTCCAAAAAACGTCGACCGTGTCGCTGCTTCTATCTTTGCAGTGTGCAACGACTGGCAAAAACAAGTCCGACTGCGTGACGAGCAGCAGCCGCGCGACGCGCAAAGCGGCGGCGTCAGAGCTCGATGCGAAAACGCGGAGAAGAATCGGCGCGACTCTGCGCGACTGCTGCTGCAGCGTGCGCGCACTGAGCGCCTCGAGCTGCGCGAGCAGCTGCTCGACGTCCGTCGGTTCGGCCGTGAAGTACCGCACCGCGAACAAAAAGCGGACTTCTTCGAGCGGCTGCGCGCTCGTCCACTCGAAGATGCGCGGCCAGACGAGGCGCTTGTGCTGCGTCGCCGGGATGCGGCGCAGCAGGTAGTTGAAAAGTAGGCGCGTGGCAGCGTTGTCCTTCAGCACGCGGCTCGTGAACTGCGGGTACCACAAGAGCAGCACGGGAAAGTCGTCCATCACGGCGTGCGACAGCTGGAAGATGCGCTGAAACAGCGCAAAGTACGAGGCGTGCTCGTCACTGCAGTGCAGCAGCAGAGACAGCAGCGCGCGCCACAGCCGGAAGTTCGCGGGAAACAGCGCAACGCCGCGCAGCAGCAACACCAGCGAAAGCTCGAAGCTGAGGTGCTTTGCCGCGTTGTGGAAGCGCAAGAAGCTGTGCGGAGTCGGGTTATCGCGGCACACGACTTCGTGCAGCACCAGCGAGTCTGCGGCCGCAGCTCCTACACTCACCGCCTCCAGCTCGCGGATCAGCGCGCACAGTTCGGAGGACGCGCTGAAGCCAACGCTCTGCGGCGCGTGCGCAAAGCCCGCGCGGAACAGCGACTGCTGCTGCGCGCCGCTGGCGGCGGCAGCCACCACGGCGCACAGCCGCGGGCTCGGTGCGGAAACAGCGACTGCGCTCATGAAAAAATCAGCAGGAAGCTGGGAACGAGCGACAGCGCGTGCCGCGCCCAGATCACACTAAAGAAGGGAGGCAGCCCATTTTCAATTATTTTCCGATATTCTCAGAATTATATTATCATTTTAAACACTGCATGATTGGGGTCTCCAATGAATCCGAGCATGCTCCGCCGCCAGTGTTTGAATGGTTCAATAGTTTCAAGGAATTCATAAAGTACCAGCCGGACGGCCTGACGCCGCAGGCGGCTGTTCAGCTTTATGAATTGTACAAAACCAATTTTCGACAGTGCAAGTTGCTCGAGAATTTCAAACTGCACTTGCCGCTCGCCGCCGCGCCTACGCTTTCTTACGACCCGGAATACTTTTGCGCGCACGTGCTACGCGACGCTGCAGCAAAAGCCGCGCGCTCGGCGGCGTTTTTCGCCGACTTGGCTACGGGCCGGCTGGCGGACACGAACTTCTCCGTGCCGCGCGACTCGCCTCTGTATCTGAACTCCGAAATCACTCCGCTTGCGCTGTTCAACAAAGACTTCTCCTGCTTCGCTGCCCACCTCAATGACTGCATTTCTTTGTGTGACTCTCCGTTTTTCGGTGCCAGACCTGAACTTCTTTCTTCCACGATTCTACTGAAGCATGTTTCTCCGACGATATCGCGCAAGCAAATTGAGGAAAGTTTTTCGCACATAACCGGTCTGGTTTCCATTCATATCCTCTCCTCTCCGCTGGCGCGCGAAAATTTGCCGGACCTTCTGCCACTCATCGAAAAAGACATCTCCGACGTCTCGGCTGAACTGAAGCCGCAGGTGAACAAAGCCTCTTCCGAGTGTTACGTCAAGCTGCCGAGTTTGGCGAACTCTGCCGCACGCAGCAAAGACTTGCACGTGTTGCTGCCGACGCAGTACGTCTACTTGGGTTTCGACTCCCAGGAACACATGCACGCCGCGCTGCCGCAGGTCGCCACGACCGAGCTCGAGTCGATTTCGCTGCCGCGCCCGCAGGCGCTGCAAGAGAATGCACACAAGCTCAGCAGCTTCACCTTCGTCAACGACTACTGCAGCGAAGCCGAGCTGCTGAAGGACTTGGACTTCGCGAAGAAGCTCATCACCAAGCTGCAGGCGCTCTACCGTGTGGTCGCGCAGCAGCAGCGCGAGTTGCAGCACGTGGAAGCTGCGAGCGCCAACGCCGACGTAATTAACCTGGAGGACTCGCTGGCAGCCGCGCCCGCCGCCTCCGCCGCAGCAGACGCAGACGCAGATTCACGCGCTGGCGAAAGTGCCGCCGCGGCCACAGCCGCAACCGCAGAAGCCGCACCTGCAGTCCCCGCCGCCGACGGCGCTGCATCTGCGGCCAGCGCCGTAGTCGCCGTAGACGACGACGAAGCACTGCGCGCTCTAGAGCAGCACTGCGAGGCGTGCGCGAGCACCTCACAGCAGCAACTCGACCTTTGCCTTCTGTTTTTGCGCCGCGTGCACCGCTACGACTTCTACAAGGGCCGGTTCAACTTTTCCGACCGCGAGCTGTTTGAGACCAGCGGCGCCTGCACGCTGCGCGTCGCGCCCGAGAACGCCGCGCTCGAGCGCTGCAGCGCGTACCGCGGCTTCGTGGAGACTTGGCTCGGCCTGGACTTGTCGACTCTGTTTCTGCCGCTCTCGGAAACGCACCCCGCGATCGCGCCTTCGTGGGACGCTGTTTGCAAGGAAAACATCGTGCCGGACGGCACGGAGCGCTTCAAGTGTTTTATATGCGGCAAAATATTCAGAGGCTCTGAATATGTGTGCAAGCATTTAAAGAATAAACACCCGACGCTACTCAGCAACCTCGTCGCGAACTGCAGAGAGACTTTCGCGTACAAACTCTACTCCGCAGACTGTTTGGCGTACCTCTGTCTGCCGATCGAGTTCAACGAGTTCGTCAATCTCCGCAAAACGCACCCCGCGAAGGAAGCAAACAACTACGGCTTCGCGCGCCGCTTCCGCTCCAAGTTCAACGGCAAGTCTGCGCCCTACGTCAGGCGGGACTGGGACACGCCGTCCAACAACTTGGAGAAGAAGTCGCGATCGGGCAACATCCGCGCAGCGCTGCGCTACGCGGACTTGTAGCGCGCGCCTGCGCTGCGCAGCGGCCGCCGCAGTGGGCGCAGCTAGCCGTTAGGTTTCAAGTGCAGATTTACGATAACCACGCACTGCAGCGCGCACCGCACCCTGCGCGGCAGAGAGCGCAGCCATAGACGGCGCTGACCGCGCTTCGCTGTCGCGCCGGGCGGTTGGCGCTGCGCGCCGCGCTTGCGTGCGACAAAATGGCAGAGCGCGAAATCGGACATGAAGCTGCACTTCTCAGGCTGTCGTTTGGCGGCGCGCGCTGCGCGGAGCTTGGCGCTTTTTGCGCGCCGCGGAGCCGTTTGGCCGCGGAGCTGTCTGGCCGCGAAGCCGTCTGGTCGCGGAGCCGTTTGGCCGCGGTTGAAATAATTATGGCATTTCAAAACCCTACTTTATAATTTGCGCAATTTACACGTCGCAGGCCCTTCCGGAGAAGCCGAATGCTAGTTGATGGAGTCTAGCGAGACTTGTCCTGTCGAAAACGGCCATGTCATTTACCGCAAGAAGATGATTAAGCTTCCGCGGCTGTATGCTGACGTGCTGGCAAACAGAGACCGCGCGTACTGGGACTACGAAAACTTCGTTGTCGACTGGCAAAGCCCGGACGGCATTGAGCTCGTCGTGAAAGTCGGCCGCGGCAAGTACAGCGAAGTGTACGAAGCCGTGCGTCGTGCCGAAGACGGGAGCGAGGAGACCTGCATCGTCAAAATCTTGAAGCCCGTCAAGAGCAAGAAGCTGCGCCGCGAGATCAGCATTTTGCACAACTTGCGCGGCGGCCCAAACATCGTGCGGCTGCTGCACCCGGTGAAAGACCAGCAGTCGGGCGTCCCGAGTCTGGTCACCGAGCACGTGAAGGCGGTCGACTTCCGCACGCTGTTTCCGAAGCTGTCGGACCTCGACATCCGCTTCTACTTCTTCCAGCTCTTGGTCGCACTCGACTACTGCCACTCGGCGGGCATCATCCACCGCGACGTCAAGCCGCACAATATCATGATCGACCCGGAGCGCAAGGTGCTGCGCCTAATCGACTGGGGGCTCGCGGAGTATTATCACCCGGGCAAATTGTACAACGTGCGCGTCGCCTCGCGCTACTACAAGCCGCCCGAGCTGCTCGTCGACTTGTGCGCGTACGACTACAGCATGGACATGTGGTCTGCGGGCTGCGTGCTGGCCTCAATGATTTTTTACAAAGAAGCGTTCTTCACCGGCGCAGACAATCTCAACCAACTCGAAAAAATCGTGGAAGTTCTCGGTTTTGCGGAGTTCGAAAAGTACATGCGCAAGTACAACCTCGAGTACCCCGCCGGCTTTTCAATCAGCCTCATGAAAAGCAAGAAGCGGATTCCGTGGGCCAACTTCATCAACCCCATGACGCGCTCTACTGCAAACCCGGAAGCGATCGAATTGCTCGACAAGCTGCTGCGCTACGATCACACGGAGCGGCTGCTTCCCAGCGAAGCCATGCAGCTCTCGTACTTCGACCCCGTGCGGCCGGCCAATGCATAGATAGATTTACGCTGAATTTTGCATCCACTCGCTGATGACTTGCGTGAGACACTGCGCCAAGTCCTGCGACTCGTTCACGACCGTGAAGAAGTCGAACGGAAAGTTCGATTTCGCCAAAAACTTGCTGTTCGCCGCGCCGAGCCCCAGTGACAAGTCTTCGAAGTTCAGATACCGCACGTTGTAAATCGAGTTTTTGCTGTTGTCAATGATGACCAGCACGGGGCACACGCCTTTGGCCTTCAAACTCGTCAGCTGCGCGAAGAGCTTGCCGCCGCCGAAGCGCCCGTCGCTGATTATCAACACGAGCTTTTGCATGTCGACACTGAGCAACTGCGGGAACTCGTTCAAGTAGTCCAGTAGTTGCACCATCGTGTGGTCGAAGCCCGATTGCTTGGCGCCGGTGAACTGCACTTTCTGGACCGCCGACTCGATCTGCGCCGCACTTGCCACCTCGTTCGGAATGTCCACGCGGCGCACCACGCCGCAGCCAAACGCGTGGAAGTACATCTCGCCCGCCTCCAGCTGCCGCAGCGCGTTGTTCAGCGCAAGCATTGTAACGAACGCGTTGTGTTCCGAATTCAGCACGCGCATCGAGCTCGAAGTGTCGATGCACACGCTGATGTGGTACTGCCGCCGCGAGTTTCGCGTTCGGCGGAGCCAGATTCGGTCGTTGCGGAAGTCACTCGCAATGTACGTGATCACGTGCTTCATCGACAAGCGCTTGCCACTGCGAAAGAAGCCTTCGTACTTTCCGCGATTCGTCGGCTCGATGATTTTCTCCAACGCAACAACCAACGCGGACTTCACCGTGTGCACCGCACTGTTCAACGCTGCGAAGTCGAGCGCCGGAGCGTCGCTCTGCGACTCACAAGTCGCCGCAAACTTTCGCTCGCAGCTCAGCTTTTGCTGTGCATCTGCCTGCGCGCTCGATAACTCGACGTCCTGGCTCGCTTCAGCCGCGCGCTCGTGCTGCGACCTATCGCTGCGCTCCACTCCATCCGCTTCTGCTCGCTGCTCCGGTGGCGCGGCGGTCGCAGACTTCAAGTTTGCGAGCGACTCTGCAGCTTCGTCACGCGCGCCGCGCGACTCGTTCTTCAGTTCGCACGTCGCGCCTGGCTCACCGACTGAAAGCTCCGATAAGTTCTTCGAGCCGCGCTCCAACGTAGGATCTGCCATTTCTGATGTCGTGTCGATATTCACATTCGTTTGCTCGTCTGCCGGTGCTGATCCGGTCTTCTGCGCAGCTGCCGCCGTAGAGATCGCCGCACTGGCGCAGCCCTGCTCTACCACCTCGCTGTTGAACCCCTGGCTCGTTTCGCCGGCCGGCTGATCGTTCGCGCCAGAACTGCCGCGCAACGCGTCTTCCAAATCTACATCTCCGTACACCGATGTAGCAGTAGCATTCGTGACGGCCTCGTCGGCATCAAGCTCAGCCGCACTTTCTTCGCAGCGCAGGTCGTCAGCAATGTTTTTCTCTGCATCCTTGCCAGCTTCGGCGGAAAAATTATCTTCTGCGCCGAGCTCGCCAGCTGCGTCTTCCGTAACTGACTCCACATCGTCCGAGTCTTCCGACCCGCTCGACGCTACAAGTTCGTCCAGCAAGTCGCTGCACATCGGTCCGTCGCTCAGCTCTGCGATCTGATCCGCAACAGCGCTGTTGCTGGCTGCGTCAGAAGCGCACTCCGAAGCGTCCTCAATGTCTTCCGCGTGCGCCGTCAACCCATCGAGGTCACGCGGCGCGGCGTCCATTTTCTCTTCGGCAACTTCAGCTGGAGCAGTGCCCTCAGCGTCTTCGCGCGAGACTTCATATCCTTCAATTTCATCTGTCTGCTGCGCGTCGCTTACTTCGCCCTCAAAGTGCTCCTCGCGCGTATTCTCATCATCTTGCGAAAGAGACTCGACGTCGTTCCGCATGACATCATCTAACTGCTCAGACTCCAGAGCCTCTTCTGCAGTAGCGAGATCCAACTCGCCATCGAAATCCTCGCTGAGATCAACTGGTTTCTCAGAAAGCTCCGCAGACTGCTCGTCCACCTGCTTGTCTTTGCGCTGTAGCGTATCGAAGTCAACATCCTCTGGCGACTGTTTCGCCGACTGTGCAATTCCACTCCCGTCGTCTAGTCCCGTGCCTTTGACAAACTCCACGTCTCCCGAGACTTCTGGTCTCTGTGGCTCTGCATTTGCGAAGGCGTCCGCCTTGGCAAGGTTACAGCAAAAAACCCAGCCTGAGCTGCACAGCCCGTACACGGGAACCGTGAATGCGCGAACGAGCTCACAAAACCCGATCGGCAGTACAGCAGAATCCTCCAGTGTCAGTTTGAAAGCTTGGTCTCTGCCTTGCTCGAAGACGTGGGACAGTAGATCGTCATATTTGGCGGCAAGCAATTCTGTTAAATTCGCCAAACTGGAATCGGAACTAGGATCTGCGAACGACAACAGTGCGCTCGCGGCATCCACAAAGAAGTGCGACCCGTCTATCTTGCGCGAAGGCCTTGATAGTTTGCGCGCAATGAGTTCGCTTCGCTCTCTCACCTTTCTAAGCAACTTTCGAGCACGCTTGGGCAGAGCTATGCAGTTCCTGCGCAGTAGCACTTTTACTTTTTGATACCTCGCAACTAATTCAGAAGCGTGTCGGTTAAGCCGCGCAAGCGCTTCGACGTCTACGATTGCAAAATGCGCCGCAGACTGCAACTGAAAAACTGCGTAGTTTTTCACTCGCTTTGTCAAACGCACGCTTAAGTCTTCGTTGGACTGCTGCGGCAAGCAGATTTCGTAGAAAGAGAGCAACGCACTCAAGTCCTGGCACGCAGCCTGCAATTTTTCGAGCTGCGCAGTGTCGCAGCAAACCCAAGTGACCTCCGCAGCGGCAAACATCGAGTGCACTGCTGAAAGCTGCGCGCAGCAGTGCGAAGCACGTGTCAGCCAGAATGTTAGTTTTCCCAACATCTCAGCAACGCCTTGCAATTTGCGTTTTGTTCCATTGTCGATGGCGTCGAACTCAGTGCTGCAGCGATTGCAGAGATAAACGACTCGCGCTGCGAAACTGTGCGCTGGGTCACACGAGCGCAGCAATGATAGGTCGGACAAAACCAAACTGATGAGTTGTTCCATAGGATACGGCGGATCAGCGCCGCAGTGCAACAGTGCGTACAACGCGCTGTTTAAGCTGGCCACAGCAGAACCCGCGCTTTCGGAAGAAGCGCTCTCGGCTGCAGCTGCCAGAGTTTCGTGCGTTTCGAACATCGCCGCAAGTTTGTTTTGCACCGTACCGTGCTCCAACTCGGTAACCACAGAGCGATACAGTGCCCACGATGCCCAGTGTAGCGGAAAGCTTTCGGCTACTTGCTTCTGCATCGCGCCTACCGAATTGTTGTCGCGATACTGCTTTTCGGCCGCATGCACAGTCACTAACAGAATACTGTCAAAGCGATTGAGTATGGAGTTCAGCTGCGTGTGAAAATGCTCGTAGCTGTCTAGCTCGGTGGCGCGGTGCTTAGTGCTGAAAATCAGCACTAGTTCCTTCAGCTCAGTCTCTAGTGCAGCACATTTGGGGGCCAACTCAGATTCAACGCGCAGCTTGTAAGCATCAAGCACGCTCGCCGCCAGCGGCAAAGCTCTATCGTCCGGGAAGCACAATTGCAGCGCACGCAGTATTGCGATGAAGAACGGCAGATGCGCAACCAGCAGCACTGACTCAGGATTGTGCACAATTCGGTACACCGCGTCTACTACGGACTCGGACCCAGTGTCGTTAAGCACTTTCAAAAGCTCGGACAACAAGCGCGGGAGAGCGTTACGCGCAAACCTTGAAACGTGTGCGAGTTGTCTGTGCAGTAAACCGTGGCGATAAGTTTCGCAACGCAGCTCAAACAGCCGCCTAAGTGCCTGCTCAACACTCAGTCGGCAACTTGCAAACATCGCCTGCTTCTGAGCAACGAATTGCTGGATTTTCAAAAGACTTGCGTTTACAGCAAGCAGTCTCTGCTGCAACCGCGGAAGCTTTGTGTTTCCGCGCAGTTGAACAAGCTGGTTAAGCTCCTCGAGTGCTTGGTGCACTAAGAACGTGTCGGCGAGCTCCTGACGCGCGACGGCAGAGCTCAGAAACTGTTGCAACTCGGCCGCCTCCTCAGCAAAAGTTAAGTCCAGGGCGTCAGCTGTCGCCTCAAAGAAATTCACGCTAATGCGCTCATTCGCGCCGTAAAACAGGTGTCGGCCAAAAGTCTCGTTCATCAGCTGGCTAACGCTGCGAAAACACGCGCAAGCCTGGAGCTGTCTTTCCAAAAACGCTTCTGCTTCGGTGTAGCGCGACCGCATGAAGACGTGCGGGTAGCAACCCGCTGCCACGGTAAACGCGTCAACGCTGCACTCAGCGCTCAATAAAATGATGAGCAGTTGCTCAAACTTCTGCAGCGCGCTCCGCGCGTCTTCGCATTGTTTGTAACTCGCGTACGGCTCCGGTTGCGCGCTGCTACAGAGCTCGTCGCTCACAGGTGCTAGGGCATGGCTAGAAGAGTTGAGCGACTGCTCCCACGTCATGGCAACAGTTTCGTCCTCGCGAGTCAACGTTTCGCCAAGAAGCTCAAAGTATTTCCGCAGCACAGAGCGTTCTGCATCATTGCATTGTCGCTTCGCAAAACTCAGCCAGACCGCTGCAAAATGTAAGTACGCAGTGGATACGCTGCCTACGGAGTGCTTCGAAGCCACGATGGAGTCAGCGACGCGTGCATAGTCAAACTGCGGAATGAGCGCGGCGAAAGTGCTGCTGTCGTTCAGCGCCGGCGCACGATGCTCGGCTTCGAGGTAATTCAAGCACTGCTCGCCGTTGTCCAAACAGGAAAACACGAAATCGCCAAGCTGATCCGCTGTAGATGGCACTGCGCTCGCTCGCAGCAACGCAGCCTGCGAGTTATCCTGCGCAGTGTTGATGAGCGCTAGTGCAACGGTGGCTTCGACAAGGTCTTTGTACGGCTCGAAAGAGCCCAGCTGTAGGTGATCCGCTGCGTTCGCATCCAACACGAACCGCACGTCGGCGGTGACTTGCTTCAAATTACGCAGATAGGCTAGCAGCGAAGCGGCCAAGCTTTCCGAACGCTGCAGCTCCTCCACTTGCACGGAGGGCAAGGTGTCGCTCCGCGAGGAGCATAGCAGGACGACGTCCGGCCTTGTTATCCGCGTGCCAAACCAGTAGTTTTCCATGCAGTCCGCCAACGCCGCGCATCTAACCGCATCCAATTCGAATTGCGCCGAGGCTTGTTGTTTCAGGTGCGCAGCGCTTTCCAACAAAACGTGCTGGATTGTGCACTGAGCTAGCATTATGACACAAACGTGCAGCCAGGAGAGCGTCAGAGCTTCAAGCTGTTCCTCGTAAACAAACTTCATAAACTGAAACGTCGCAGCAGCGTCGAATGCACGAGCACTTTTGAAACAGTCCGCGAATTTGGTGTGTACTCCGCGCGCAAGACGCAAGACTGCGCCGCAGCGCGCGTTAATCGCAAATCTCAAAGGAAACAAGCTGTGCAACTGGTAACGGCACAACCTATCCAGCTTGATGCAACTCGCTAAGCCGCTCAAGCACGCGGTGCTCCGCAGCTTTGCAACGCACTCACAAACGGTAAGCAGCGCTCGACTAGCGCTGGAAGGTTCCGTTCTATCCAGCAGGCCGAGTTCACCGAGATGCGAAAGCAGTATCCCGTAGCCGAACAGCGGGTCGCACCCGCTCTCTAGCACGAGCGCTAAGTGTTGATGCAGCAACAGTGACTTAGTGAACTGCGTGAGCTCAACCGAG